ATTTGGGAGGCTGAGGCAGGAGAATCCCTTAAATCTGGGAGGCAGAGGTTGCGATGAGATGATATCATGCCATTGCTCTCTGGCCTGGGTGACAAGATGGAAACTCCATCTCAAAAAAAAAAGAAAAAATTAATGATTAAAAATCTTAAATCAAGCAAGAGTAAAATGTGTTTCATTTTTTTCCTACTAAGTCCTCATAGTAGCATAATATTGATTTTAAAAAACAGGTATAGCATGATAACACAGCCTAAATTACTTTCATTAGATGAACAAAACTTAAAAAAGAAAACTCATTACAGGAATAGATTGCAATAGAATTCTTTCTAAGGATTTATTCTAAGGAAATAATCTGTAAAGCAACAAAATGTTCATTGTAAGGGAAAAACTTGAAGCAGCCTAAATGTCTAGCAGTAGGGTAATAGTAAATTATCTTACTCATAAGTAGGTTATCACGCAGCCATTAAGAATGATGTTTTGAGGCCAGGCCTGGTGGTTTACGCCTGTAATCCCGGCACTTTGGGAGGCCGAGGTGAGTGGATCACTTGAAGTCAGGAGTTTGAGACCAGCTTGGCCAATATGGGGAAACCCATCTCAACTAAAAATACAAAGACATTAGCTGGACATGGTGGTACACATCTGTAATCTCAGCTACTTGAGAGGCTGAGGCAGGAGAATTACTTGAACCCAGAAGGCAGAGGTTGCTGTGAGCTGAGATTGCGCTGTATTACTCCGGCCTGGGTGACACTGCCTCAAAAAAAAAAAAAAGAATGGTGCTTTGAAACTATTTATTTATTTATTTATGACAGAGTCTTGGTCTGTTGCCCAGGCTGGAGTGCAGTGGGGCGACCTCAGTTCACTGCAAGGATTATGCTAAATCTACTCTGCCTGTGCTCTATCAATAGAAGAACAAAGCCTAGATTATAGCATATCTGTTTACAGCATGGTTTACTGAATTCTCTCTTTTTGGTTTGTTTTTGAGACAGGTTCTCACTCTGTCCCCAGGCTGGAGTGCAGTGGCATGATCATGGCTCACTGCAGCCTTGACCTCATCAGGCTTGGGGGATCCTCTCACCTCAGCCTCCCTAGTAGCTGAGACCACAGGTAAGTGCTATCACACCTGGCTATTTTTTGTATTTTTTGTCAAGACAGGGTTTTGCCATGTTGCACAGACTGGTCTTAAACTCACGGGCTCAAGTGATCTGCCTGTCTTGGCTTCTCAAAGTGCTGGGATTGCAGGCATGAGCTATCTATCTTACCTGGCCTACTAAATACTTTAAGCCCACTGTTGAGACCTACTTCTCAGCAAAAAGGATTCCTTTCAAAGTATTACTGCTCGTTGACAATGCACCTGGTCACCCAGGAGCTCTGTTGGTGATGTACAGGGAAGTTACTGTTGTTTTTATGCCTGCTAATACAACTTTTATTCTGCAGCCCAGGAATAAAGGAGCAATTTGGACTTTCAAGTCTTATTATTTACGAAATATATTTCATAAGGCTATAGCTGCCATTGATAGTGATTCCTTTGATGGATCTGGGCAAAGAAAATTGAAAACCTTCTGGAAAGGAATCAGCATTCTAGATGCCATTAAGAACATTTATGATTCAAGGCTGGGTGTGGTGGCTCATACCTGTAATTTCAGCACTTTGGGACGCCGAGGTGGGCGGATTGCCTGAGGTCAGGAGTTTGAGACCAGCCTGGACAACATGCTGAAACCCTGTCTCTACTAAAAATACAAAAATTAGCCAGGCATGCTGGCAGGTGCCTGTAATCCCAGCTGCTCGGGAGGCTGAGACAGGCGAATCGCTTGAACCCAAGAGGCAGAGGTTGCAGTGAACCGAGATTGTGTCATTGCACTTCAGCCTGAGTGACAAGAGCGAAATTCCATCTCAAGAAAACAAAAAACAAAAATAACAAAAAGAGTATTTATGATTCATGGGAGGAGGTCAAAATATCAACATTAACAGAAGTTTGGAGAAAGTTGATTCCAATCCTCATGGATGTCTTTGAGGAGTTTAAGACTTCAGTGGAGGAAATAGCTGCTGATGTAGTAGAAATAGCAAGGGAACTAGAATTAGAAGTAGAGCTTGAAGATGAAACTGAATTGCCTCAATCTCATGATAAAACTTTCACAGATGCAGAGTTGCTTCTTATGGATAAGCAAAGAAAAAGGTTTCTTGAGATGGAAACTACTTCTTGTGTAGATGCTGTGAACATAGTTGAAACGGCAACAAAGGATTTAAAGTACTACATCAACTTACTTGTTAAAGCAGTGGCAGTGTTTGCGGACTGATTCCAATTTTGAAAGAAATTCTACTGTGACTAAATGCTATCACAAAGCATCGCATGCTAGAGAGAAACCTCTTGTGAAAGGAAGAGTCAATTGATGCAGCAAATGTCATTGTTTTATTTAAGAAATTGCCACAGCCGCCTCAGTGTTCAGCAACCACCACTGTGATCAGTCAGTAGCCATCGGCGTAAAGGCAAGACTCTCCACCAGACTCAGATGACTGTGAACAGTTATTTTATTTTTTATTTTTATTTTTTTAGCAATTAAGTATTTTCAAATAAGGGTTTGTACTTTTTTAGACATAACGCTATTGCACAGTTAATAGTCTACAGTATAGTATAAATGTAACTTTTATAAGCACTGGGAAACCAAAAAATTTGTGTGACTCGCTTGTGGTATTGTGATATTTACTTTATTGCTGTGGCCTGGAACACAAACTGTGACATCCCTGAGGTATGCCTGTATGTCTGATCTTTGTCTCTGGTTGCCAACACACGGGTTCAAAAACCCTTGGAGGATGGGCGCAGTGGCTCATGCCTGCAATTCCAGCACTTTAAGAGGCCAGTGCAGGAGGACCACTTGAGTCCAAGAGTTTGAGGCTGCAATGAGCTATGATTGTACCACTGCCCACCAGACTGGGTAATGGAGTGAGACCCCCATCTCTAAAAGCTAACTAACTAACTAAAACCCTTAGAATTTCCTAAGGGACACAAGTGGAAATATCTTTTGTTATTCATTATGATCCCCTTTTGACCATACCTGAGTTGATGTGAATGAAGTAACTCACTGTGAGTCCTTTGGTATTTTCAAGAGACTGGCTGGTCACACGAGAAAGACCAAGCATAGGTTCAGAGGATTGAGACTTTTAATCTTTCAATTTCACTGCCCTACCCTATCCCGGCAACCCTGATATCCTTGGAGGAGAGAGGGTCTAGGGATTGGGTTCAATCGAGTGGCCAATGATTTAATAAATACTCCAGACTCTGAGGCTCAGTGAAGCCTCCTAGTTTGTGAACACATTGATGTACTGGGAGGGTGATGCACCCAGATTCTATGAGGAGAAGGCGTGGGAAGCTCTGTTCCCACTCCCCACTCCCATACCCTCAGACCTTGCCCTATGTATCTTTTTCATTGGTTGTTCTTGAATTTTCTTTCTTCTTTCTTTTTTTTTTTTTTTTTTTTTTTTTTTTGAGATGGTCTCATTCTGCCACCCAGGCTGGAGTACAGTGGTGCAATCATAGCTC